ATCCCAATCTTTCTGAGGCTGTCACAACTCCCACCTCAGCCCCACTGTGACTCTGGGGTACGATTAGCAGGCCAATTCAGAGACTCATTATGGGAGCAGAGGGTGATGGGGCTGAATGACAGGGCGGGTGGTGCTGGGAAGTGCTCTCCCCCAGCGAGACAAGTGCAGGTGGAGAGAAGACACAGAGACAGGATGCTGCTTCATTAAGAGCGGCCCAGGGGATGGTTGAGATGCAGGACACAGCAGGAACGCCTCCTGAATGAGCCTTGGCTCCTCTCCCTCTCTCCCACCCCCACACCAACCCCCTGCGTTGCTAATTTAAAACAAAGCAAAACAAAGCCCTGGCTTTGCTTTGGAGCCATAAACTGCAGAGCTTTTATCTGTCAATGAGCCATGCATCAGCTGGCAGTGGCCCAGCCTGGATCCTGTGGCCTGGCATAGGTGTGGGGAGAGGGGCCTGAGCTGCCTCCAGGGTCTCACTGAGGATCCTGCCTCTTCTTGGGGCACAAGACCAAGAGTCTTTGTGGTCACAGGGCTCAGAAGGATGGCAGTTCCACCTAGGGGCCAGGAAGAGATGTAGGGTGGATGCGGGGAGGAGGGAGAGAGAGAGAAAAAGGTGGTAGCAGGAGCTAGCCAGGAAAAAGCTCATCATGTCGGCTGATCGCCGACCTCCCTCCATCCAGCCTTTCCTTGCTGCTTCTTCCAGGAAGACTTCCCAGCTCTCCTCCTTCTCTGAAATCCTATTGACTTGGTATTCTAGGATATCAAGGGACTCTAAAGCAGTGGTCTTCAATGTTGTCTAGAAACATAGTATATAAAATATTAGAAAGTCCAACTGTTATGAAGTAGGTAAATCTTAGCTCATGTCTGGTGTGTAGATCCCATCTGAGGAGAGAGGGAAGATTCTGAGAAGTATAACTTGAAACCTCTAATCACGGCCACTATAGTTTTACAGAAAGTAGCAAGCAGGTTCTATTTTACAGAATTCCTGCTTCCTCTGTTTATCGATTGCTTATTCTGTGCCAGGTACCATGGGAACACTTATGATTCATTAGTTCATCTAATCCCCAGCTCAAGCCAGTGAGGTGGACTACGATTGTCCACACTTGGCAGGTGAGTTCAGTTTGACTGTGAGGTCTATACATATTGTGAGGACCTGAAGGTGGGCCTGGAAAGATTGGCAACCAGGGGTCAGATGATAAAAGGCTCTATGTGTACGCAAAGGGAGGCCAGAAGAGAAACCTCTAATCACGGCCACTATAGTTTTACAGAAAGTAGAGACGTGGTACTCTACATTTATGAGCTCAGTCTTACAGCAAAGGAGAGAGTAGGTCAGAGGGAAATTCCTCAGCCCCCGGCTGGCAGATCAGCCAGTAGCCCATTTGTAGCCAGCCAACAGGCAATGGCAGGGCAGGGCAGGGGTGGTGGGATGGAGAGTAAGGGATGATTTGAGAGACATGAGATGAGAGAGAAACAGTGATTGATAAATAGAGAGGAATCTTTGATGTGGGTGTCGATTATGCAGAGGTGCTGTGTTTGTGAAAATTCAGTAGGCTGCATACTCATGATGTGTGCTCTGCTGTGTATATGTTCTATTTTATATTAAAAACAGAATAGGAAATATCAGGCTAGAGATTAAAGTTTCTCAACTGGGCCTCATCTAGGACACCAAAGTTGCTCTCAGAATTTTTCTTGTAACCTGAGAGCTGCTTTCCCTCACATGATGCAGATCTGCTTTGTTTGGAAGAAAGAAGAGAAAAAAGATCTGAGTTCTGATCTGGACCTTGCAAAATGGGAGGACTTGGCTAATAATTATCACATTCACTGCCATTGATTAAGCTCTTACTATAGATCGTGAAGTCAAAGGCACACTTTATTTTTTAATATTTTAATGTCTCTGAAACCAAAAGGCATCCTACAAAAACTGACATGTCATAATTAATTAACTGTCAGTGTTTTCTTTCTTAGAAGTCCATAAAATAATGGCATGATTATAATCCATGGAGTTTTACATTCAAGAAATAGGATATCGCATGCCGAGCTGTCTGCTAAGTCCTGTGCACACGTTCCTCATGCAATTCTCACACATCTTATAAGTTACCAGCTATTGTTAACCCTGTTTCTCAGACGAGGAGTTGAGACGCGGATTAAGAAAGAAGGTCAATTGCCCAAGGTCGCAGAGGTAGTTAGAGGTGAACTCAGGATTTCAACCTGTGCCACTTCAAACTTGGAGATCTTTGTCGAAAGCAAGAACGAGTCTGGGGCCCAGAGGGTGGTAGCCTTTTCTTTCCACAGCCCAAGACAACCAGGTCAACAGCGACCACCATCGCCCAGCCACCATCCATCAGTGCTGCCTCTTGTCATCCATCCCCTGTCCCTCTGTTGGCCTAAACCCTGGGATTCTTTTCTCCTTCTCCGAGAGCGAGAGCGCTGAGTCTAACATCTGCAGTGACCTCCCTCCCCCATGGAGAGGAGGGGGCTGGAATGAGATCTCAGGGGAAAGAAGGAAGAAATTCCGAGCCCAGCTGGTTTCTCTCACACAATGCAGATTTGCTTAAATAGGAATTAGGATTAGTGCTGGATTTCGCTTCTCCTGGAAGACTGGTAATAAACTAATCTCCTCTCCTGCTGCAGGAAGGCAGAATTCCTCTGAAGACTGGAGACAGCTTCAGGCTCAGGAGTGCAAAACCTGGAAAGTAATTCTGTTATTGACAGGCCTACCCGCTCCACCTGACACGCAGCCCGCAGCTCCTTCCCGGTGTGGCCACGGCCTTTAATTTCGTTAATGTGTGACATTCACCCAGGCTGCGTGGCTGACAGGCACGCTTGACATTAATGCTTGTTCCTCGCGGTCCCCAGAGCTCATAAAAGCTCATTATCAGTTCTGAGCCGTAAATGTAGTTCCTGGCTCAGGTGGGCTGGAGTTCCTCAGAGATGCCCCCAGGCAGGGGAGCAGTGGCCATCTATGTGAGCCAAGAAATCAGCTCCTTCCTTTGTCCCGAGGACCTGGCCTCCCAGGCTACTGAGAGGGGACCAGAAAAGTCCTTCTGTAGATGGAACCCTGGGTTCCAATTTGCATCCAGGAAAAGGGGCTCCTTCTGCCCTGCTTCGTGAGGGGGATCGATCCAGCATTTGGGGATGACAGTTTGTCTGCATCTATTCGGAGGTGGAATGTGCGGAGCCCCCGCCCAGCCAGCCTGCTTCTAGGCATCCGGGCTTCGGAATTGCATAGGCACTGCCACGCAGAGGTGTGGGGGTCACTGCAGCAAGGCTGTGATTATACTGGCCAGAAACAGAGGTGCCCCACATATCCATGGTCGGGGAGGAAAATAAATTATGTTTCACATCTACTACAGGGGACTGACTGTGCAACTGTGAAGAAGACTCGAGATCTGCGAGGTCTCACAGTCATGGGTAGACACGCTATCCTTGATAAGTGGCGTCATAGAGCACGTGTGGTAGGGTCCCATTTGTGTAGTCACACCGTCTGTGTTGTGTGTGGGCCCACATGGGCACATGCTTACACACATGCATGCACACACGTATGTGATTACACAGAATGAGATCTAGAAGGTCACAGTACAAAGTCTTTGAAGTGGTTCTCTGTGTAAAATAGGATGCCTGGGTGAGGAAGAACTTTCATTTTTGTAGTTGAAAAATGAAAAAAAAATACACACACACACACACACACATATATATGTATATGTATATGCATGTGTACGCATGTTTATCAGGAATTCCTCCAATTGTAGCCTTAGTCTGGCTCAGGATGCATGAGGTCCCTTGGGCTGATGCTGACTGGGTGGATGTCTGGGGCAGAGAGAACCAAATAAACTGAGGTCGCATCCACTGACCAAGCCCTGTTCCCCTTCGGTTAGCGGGGGCTTTTGAGAACCTCTTCTGGGCATGGGGTGCCTGATGCTGGGATCCGTAGAGCGGAGCTGGAACTCATTGCTCTCCTGCTTGCACATCTCCTGCTGTGGAGGTGGCCCTTTTACTGGGCTTGACTTCCCAGGGTCCTGAGTTCTAGTCATGGTTCTGCCCCATTCCAGTGGTATGACCTTGGGCAAGTTGTTTAACCCCTCTGAGTCCATGATCTTCAACCCTGAAGTGGTGGTACTTTCTCACGGGATTGCAGAGGGTGTCAGGATTATTGTCATAATTAGCTGAGACAACCTGAAACTTGATCAGGGCTTCCATTGTGCAGCCTGTTCATTGAGGGCAGACGGAGTAGGAAGGGGGAGGTCGGGGAACTGGGCTCTCCCCTTTCTGCTATAAATTTTGCCTTTGTTTCTCAGCTGTGCATGTGAATAAGCTGGTTCTCCCAGAACTGGCCTAAGGTTTGCCTGGCAGGTATGTAACCTGGACATGGTGCATTGGATCCTTCTTTTGTGACCTAGGGACTCAGTCAAACTGACAAAGGAGGAGGAGGAGAGAGGCTGGACTTTGGCCCCTGCACTCTGGGCTGCATTGTTTTTCTCATCACCAGAGAGACCCCTCCTCTTACTACTTATCTGTTCATGGATACCAGATCTTGAAAGTATTGTTTTGCCCAAAGAGCTTGCATTCATTAGACAATGATTAATTCTCTTTCGCATTCTCAAAATTACTCAGAAAGCCTTTTTTCTGCCTGAGGGAAATGGAGATCCCACACCAAGTTGATAATATTCTAGCTAGAAGCAAAGAAAGCATGGGATGTGATTAGCATGCTCGATGTCATCTCGTGTGGACATTGCACAAGCTACCAGGCTGATTTTGAAGACTGAACACATGACCTGATCTGTAGGCACTGGGGACGCCATTCTGGGGGCCTGTGTGGGGCTAGGTGCTTAGTTCTGTCTTGCTGGTCTTAGGGACCCTGTCTGGCTTCTGTGTCTGCAGAGGTGGAAGAAGGGAGCAGACACCTCAGGGGGTGGGTGCACATCTGGAGTGCGGTGGCCCCCAGAAGCTACACTGGCCCTTGCCTCTTAAAAACTTATTTCTCTCTCTTTTCCCTCTAGAGTTTATCCTGAAGCCACCATCAAAGAGAGACCTCAAGAGAATCTTGACAACCTTGAAGGGAAAGGCACCAGTTGAAAAAGGTATGATTTTGGCAACATGGTGGAGCGGCATCTCAACTCATTCAATGGGCCTTATCTCTTCTCTCCCTGCCCTCCAAACCCTCCCTTTCTGAGTGGGAGAACTCTCAGCTCGTGCTGGGGCGGGGTGGGGTGCAGGGCAGGTGAAGGGTGGCTTAGTCTTGTCTCTGCTCCCATGTGTTTGTTTAGGGATGGGGAGCAAAGGTGAGGTGTGGAGAGAGAGAAGCTGAAGCTGAAGTGGGGTCTCGTGAGTCTGGCTGCTGCTCAGTTCGGGGGGCTGTGGGTCAGAGTTGTTCCTGAGTCCATCCAGGGAGTGAGGGTTGAAGGACTGGAGGGAGTGAGCCCTCCAAGGGAAAGAAGAGATCCTGGGGACTCGTGGAGGGCTTGCCTGTGTTGATGACACCTCCCAGACCCCTGCCACACCCACTATAGTCCCACCTCAGGACTCTCTCTTTTTTTTCTTTTTTGGATAAATTTTGTATTCCATGATGGAATTGAGAATGGAAAAGCCCTGGTCAGCTTCTGGGGCTCTGGGAACGCCAGGACATGTGATGGGCTGAAGGCCTCATGGAAGGTTCCTGAATGGAGAGTCAGGACCTCTGTCCTTTGGTCCAACCTCTGCTACCATCGTCCCTCTGAGTCCTTATGAGCCATTTCCCTCTTTGGGCCTCATTTTCTCCTCTGTGAAGTGGGGCAGCGGTGCCTTCATGTCTTCGACTCCCGAGGTTCCAAGGCCAGGGCTGAACTAGAGGGAGCGAGAGCTGTGGTGGGACAGGGAGGCACAGACGGAGGGGAGGCCCAGGGAAGGCTTTGAAGAGGAGAGGGGATTTGAAAGCTGCGAGATCTGGTTGCCAGTCCTGGGCAAAGGATGACTCAGCCCTTCAATGGAATAACTGTAGGGATTGAAGGGCAAACGGACCTGGCTTTGAGTCCCAGCTAATCAGAAGAGTCAGATTAACCAGCATCGAGGTCTCCTCCATGCCACGCGCAGTGCTAAGCACACTCCCCGAACTGTCTCACTCAGTCTTCTCAACAGCCCTGTGACGTGGCATTCTTAGCACTTTAGAGAAGAGAAAACCAGGTCTCAGAGAAGTTAAGTGACTTCCCCAGAGTCACACAGCAGTGAGTAACGTGGCTGAGATTCGAAGCCCTTGCCTGAACTACCCTACAATTCTTATGTCCTTTGCTTACCAGCTTTGTGACTTGGAGCTTAAGTTAAAAAAAAAACAAAAACAAAAAAAACCTTTAAGGCAAATTACCTCTCTGAAATTCCATTTCCTAAAAAGACATAAAAATGATTTGTTTCTTTGACCTAGAATTATTTTTTAAATTTTGAGCTCTTCATGAAATCTCTGTGTGTCTTGGTTGTCTGATCTCTAAAATAAGAGCGTGACATCTGCCGTGGGGGTTTCTTGGGGAGAAGATGAACTCGCAGAAAGCTCCCGACACTGTTCCTCCCTACATACCCTCCCTGCCTGCCTTCCCACCCCTGCGGCTGCTCTGAGAGTGGGTGGGGTGTACAACTGTAAAGCGAAGTGCTGCACCAGCTGCCTTATGGCATCTGCAATTTCGATTGCCTCTGGTGCTCGTGGTTGGGAAGCACTTGATCACTTTCTTAGACACTGATCTGATGTTCTGGTCTCCCAGATCCTCCTCTCAATTTTGGATTGTGCTGCTGGCTGGCTGGGATATTTTAGGCTGGAGTCCCAGGCAGGGTATTTGGCTCCCAGAGCTTCTAGCCAGGCTGAGGCCCGAGTGGACAGTGGCACAGGAGCGGCAAGGCCGGGGGCCTGCGTGGGCTCTCTCGCCCTCGTTAGCATCTGTATCCTGCAGCTACCTCTCTTGGCCAGCGCCTGGGCCAGGGTCTTAATTGTGAGCCTCCTGGCAGTGGCCGCCCTGATCCCACAGGAAGCTATTGCCTTATCACAAAGCCAGGATCTTGCGTGGTTTTCTTAATCAGGGGAAGGCTCTGAAGCGAGTTGGAAAAAGCTTAACTTCTCCAGGACCTTTCTGCTACGGATGCTTCTCTAATCAGAGGAAGCCATGGGCTTGGGTGAATGCGGGGAAAGAATCTCTTTAGGTACCAAAAAAAGCAGCAAGAGTGGACTGCTGTTGTTCCTGAGTTACCTTTGGGGTCGGTGGGGGAGGGTTTCCAAGGGAGCAGAGTGATTAAGCCTCGCCCCTCTTGTTAGACAAGAAACAGATAAACCTTATAGAGTCGCAGGAGAAATACAAAGATGACCAGAAGTCCACAGGCAGCCAGGCATTGTTGTGGGAGACATTTGCTGGGGTTTGGGAGCCAGACTGGTGGAAGCTGAATCCCAGCTCTGCTGTTTGACTCCGAGGGAGAGATTTGATCCCCAAGAGCCTCAGTTTTCTTATCTATAAAATGGGGAAACAGCATGCGCCTCACTGGGTGGTCATGAGGGCGAGGAAAGCGCCAGCAGATATACCTGTTTGCTTTGAACGATGGCAGCCCCTGGAATGACGTGGCCTCCCAAGGTGACCTCCTTGAGGAGGCTTGGAATCTTGGGATGTGAGAGCTGGGTGTTTGTGACCAAACAGTAAGGTTACCCTGGAGACACATACCTCCTTCCGTGCCTGGTCTAAAAAAGGGTTGAGTGTAGGGCCTGGGTTGTGTCAGCTTTCTGCTCTGACACTCCTGGCGTGTGGGGCCACCTCGGTGTGAACATTCCTCCCCAGCCTTTATCCCATGATTTACACTTCGCCCTGATGGTCTTTACTGGGCCCTTTTTGTGGATAATCGCTGACCCTCCCCACATCCCAAGAAGCAGGTATTCATAAGTTCTTTAGAGGTGAGGACAACTGGGATTCAGAGAAGTTATAAATTACTCCAGGCTTTACCTCTAAAAAGCAGCAAATTTAGGACACAAACGCAGGGCTCTTACCCCAAGGACAGTGTGTTTACCATAGCACCCCACAGAACCCACGGTGCCCACATAGCACCCCTCCACACCTACAGAGGCATGCATCACAGCTGCACCCCATAGTACCATGGCGGCTTCCCACAGTGACAATGACAGCAACCGCACATCTACTGTGGCTCCCCACAGTGCCCAGAGAGGCCCCCATGGTGTCCTTGAGGCACCCCACAAGACTCAGCATCACCCCATGGCACTCATGGTGGTGCCACACTGCAGGCTTAGAATGAGACCGGCTGTGTCCTCGGTGGCGCTCTTCCCATGTTCTCCACCTAGCCTTTTATAGAGTTTGGAGCTCAGGCGGAAAGGGAAGTCCCTTGATATCTAGCTCTCAGCCAGCCCTCTGCAGCAGGCTGAGCTAGCAAGTGAAGGCAATTTCTGTGAAGCATCAGGGTCTTCCTCCTGCTGAGATCTGACAGCGGGAAGCAGGTGGCAGGGAGTGAGTGATGGAGGCCCGGCTGCCCCAGGAGAACCTGTAACCCAGGCTTCGTCTTAATCTATTTTTTTCTTTTGCTGTTTGTGCCTTTGGCATCATATCTAAGAATCCATTGTCAAATCCAAGGTCATGAAGATTTAGCCCTGTGTTTTCTTCTAAGAGCTTTCTGGTTTTAGCTCTTATATTTAGGCCACTGCTCCATTCTGAGTTACTGTTTGTATTTGGGATGTGGAAGGGGTCTGGTTTCATTCTTTAGAATGTGATTATCCAGTTATTCCAGCACCACTTGTTGAAAACACTATTCTTTCCCCCATTGAATAGTCTTGACACCTTTGTTGAAAATCAGTTGGCCAGGGATGTATACGTTTGTTTCTGGACTCTCAATTCCACTTCATTATATGTCTGTCCCGATGCGAGTACCATGCTGGTTTAATTACTATAGCTTTATGTGTAACTTTTGGAGGAAGATTACTATATTTTAAAGCTCCCCAGGTGATTTCGATGTGCAACCAGGGTTAAGCACTACTGGTTTTTAGAGGGAGGTGAGGCGCTGTTAGCGGGGCTGGTTGGGAACTAGAATGATCCAGGGAAGCACAGGGTAAGAGGATGTAGCCCTAAAGCAAAGCCGCAGTCATGGTGGTGAAAAAGCCATGAGGGAGTTGACAGAGGTTGGTGAGAGGGACATCCTGATCCGCCCTCACGCTGGGAAGGCCTTGGGGATGCCAAGGATGAGAACAGAAGCCAGTGGTCTAGGTGAGCTTCGCTAACCTTCTACCCACCCCCAGGGTGATTTGGAGGAAGACCTGTTAGGTCCCAGTCACAGCTCTGCTCTACTGTGTGACCTCAGGCAAGTTGCTCGACCTCTCTGAGCACCCTCAGTGCCTCCATAAGGTGGCTTAGTGTTCTCTGCTACTCTCAGGGTCAAACAAATCTAAAGGGCTTAAAGGCAACGAAATGCTTGGCAGAATCTCTGCCCCAAAGTTCCTGCTAGGTGGCTGTCAGTATCTGCTTAACCACCGCCAGGGATCTGAGGTTCATGGCCTCCATTGCAGTCTGTGCTGCCTTGGGCTGCCTTGGGCTGGGTCTGACGGTCAGTGTCTCCCTGCTGAGCTGAAATCTACTTGTTCTTGTACCCTCTGCATCGCCCCTTTCCTTCCAGGCTGTTCTCCTGCGTCTGCACCTCTCATCTTCTTCTCTGCCATCTGAAAGGTCATGGTTACCTCTATCTCCCTCTGAGGATGCAGTCCAGGTGCTCTCCTGACTTCTTGCTCACCCTTCTCTGTACAGACTCTGGCCTGAACTTGGCACTTTCACAGTCCAGAACTCAGAGCCAAGGCCGGAGCTCCAGCTGTGTTCTGACCCCAGCCTAGGCGGGTGGGACCATCACCTCCCTCAGTCTAGACCTTTTACTTCTATTCATGCAGTAAGATGGTGTTGCAGTCCAGTAATTTCCCCCTCCCCTCCAATCCTGGTTGGATTCAAGCTCCCATTTTTTTCATTAACCAGGTAGGAAAGAGATTCACGGTTGCAAAGTACATTGCAATTTCCATCTGGTATTTATAAATTATAAAGCACTTTAATGCAGGAGGGAGAGCATAGCTTTGGCACTAGATGAATTTCAGGGC